CTCCTGTAGTCGTGGCAGAATCCAGTTCTTTGTAATAGGACTGAGGTTCTCGCTTCCTTGCTGGCTGTCAGCTGAAAGCCTCTCTGAGCTCCTACAGGTCTCCCACATTCCTTGCCATGTGGTCCCCTCCATCTTTAAAGCCAACAAAGAAGAAGCTCCCTCTCATCTAATTCCTCTGATGATTTGAATCTCCTGCTTCAGGAAAAGCCCAGTTCCTTTTAGGGGCTTATACGATTTGGTCGGGCCCACCCCAGGTGATCTTGCTTTCTTAAAGTCAACTGTGCCATTTGCCTAATATAATCATAGGAGTCAGGATCCCATCCCCAGCTCCCCTGGAACATCCAGGGGGTATATTAGGAGGCAGGAATCATGAGGGCATCTTAGAATTCTGCCTACTCTGTACCCAGTATGCACTCTCTCTATTCATGACACGTTTAATACTTCCTGAAGGTCCTTGGGGCGGCCTATTCACCAACCAGTTTGGAGCATTTTTATACTTTCACCAGGACAGTCACGCAGATTCACATAGAATGGTATACAGTGATCTTAATATGAGACACTGGTATGTCCTTTTTCATTCCTCTTCCTCCAGCCTCATCCCATGGTCCAAATCTCAGAGAGGCAGATTTTTGACTCAGTACATGACAGAAAAGAGGAAATCGATAAAGATGTTTGCGATTCCCATTTCCACGGATAGAGAAACTGAGTCTGAGACAAGACTCCAGCCCAGTGCCCTCTGCAGAAGAAGACCCTCAAACGCAGCTCCTGTCATGCTACTGACACTTAGACCACCCCATGACACAGTGTTTCCTCACTGTGGGTGGATGTTTTTTGGCATTTTTTTTTTTTTGCTTGAGTTGGAGTCTCACTGTCGCCCAGACTAGAGTGCAGTGGCCGCTCCCGGCCACCACAGCCTCGACCTGCTGGGCTCCGGCGATCCTTCTGCCTCAGCCTTCCGAGTAGCCGGAATTACAGGCATGCGCTACCACACCCGGCTGATTTTTTGTTTTATTGTAGAGATGAGGTCTCGTCAAGTTGCCCAGGCGGGTCTCGAACCCGCTGGCTCAGGCAATCCACTCACCTCAGCCTCCCAAAGCGCTGGGATTACAGACTGAGCCACCAAGCCCGGCTGTTTTTTGGCATTCTTAACACCAAGGTCCATTTAAATGGATGTCAGATTCACTAATGCACAATCAGAGATACAACTTCGTTTGATTCGGCCTCTTTTTTCACTTGTTTTCATATCAAAGGGATTAAACCTCTTTGCTGGACTTGAAGCTCTGTCTTTTCCAAAGACTTTCACCATGTCTCAGCACAGCTTCCCATTCACAGACAGGAGAAGACTGAAGAAGAAGAGCAGTAACCAGCTTGATGGGGTTTAATAGGATTTGCTCAAGTTAGTGCCTTTTCCTGCGTCCTGCAGAGTAGTGAGCATACTCGGCTCTCTCAGGCCAGACCAAAGCCTTCCTGCCTGCTCTCTCTCCAGGCAGTTCAGCACAGACCCTTGGTTCAAAGAAGCAATGCTGGAATATACATTGCAGGAGGATTGGCTCTGCATTTATCATCTTCACTGCTTTATGTACAGCTCCTAGCATGGGGGCTGAGCTGTAGTAGTTTCTCAATTAATGCTTGCTGATTGGATGTGTAATTAATAGAAAGGATCTTGAAAACCTGATAAAAGAAACTCATCTCTATTGTCTTTCAAGATCCTTTTGACTTGATGAGGACAGAACTGGAAGCCAGGGTTTCTTGCATGGGCTTTTACTTACCTCAGACGAAATCTAGATAGTAGTGGCTCCATTCCAGTCAGCTTGTACTGCCCTACAGATCACTCAATGGGACTTTAGCTGCTTAAGTGCTCTGTGTTCCTCTTTCTTCATCCTTAAAATGGGATCAGCAGGATATTACATTACATTTCAATTAAAGGAGGGCTTATGAATATATATGTACATTTAAAGTTATATTTATATTATTTACATGAATCCCCATGGTGGCTCCCAGGGCTGGAGGAACAGAGAATATTTATCTGGGATTTAAAGCAGAGTAAACAGAGGCAAAGAAAGTTTTTCCTCTTTGGATCACAGAGCAAATTTGTTGGACACTGAGCTAGAATCCAAAGCCGACCTTAGGTTGAATGAGGAACACCTGCAGACAAGTCCAGCACATGTGGAGAATGTATCCCAATGTCATATCAAAAGTAAACTGCCTTTTCCTGTCTGCCAGACACAAAAAGTTTTCAGATCTGGGCTGAAGTGTCCTAGAAAACATTTTCCTGTTTCTAGTATAACACAAGGCCTTCGCCTACAAGAACGTTAGTGAGTATGTTTAAAAATAAAGAAGGAAACAGTGCAGAAAATCAGCAGAAAGCTGTTTTCCCCGAAGAGCTGCGCGCAGGAGGATGTGTGTTCCCATGTGCCCCGGCTGATGACTCACTCCTGTGGGCACTGAGCCTGCCCTGCCCAACCTCGGTGGCTCGGGCAGTCTGAGGTGACACTCCTACTGGAACCCTGTTGGGTTTCACAGCTGGGGTCCCCAGAACACACAGGGCCTCGGGATCACCAGCAGTTTTCACCATCTCTGGGCACCTATGTTGGGATCTTCAGTACAGTCTCCTACCTGGCATGGAGAAGATTCCTGCCTGGGATTCTGCAAAGAAGCCTAGGCATTCTCCTTTTTGTTCCTTTTATCTTTGTCACTGCCACATGAGGAAGCAGGGATCAGATGGCCCTGTGCAGAACGGGAAATGGCCAATAAATGCCTGAGACAAATAGCCCTTCACATAACCCTTCAGTATGATGTTTTAAAGGATACCTTGAAATTGCTGCAAGCACCCAGGCAGCAAAGGAGAAGGTCTGTCAGGATCCCCTGACTTTCCAAGATGGGTGAAATCTGCCTTGGTTTTTCAACGAGGCATTTGGCTCATTGGTTGACAGAACGTTTACCAGTTGTTCTATCAGGTACATGGTTTCCTGATATTTCTTCCAGCCAAATCCAAGGCTGGAGTCACCCCAACAGTGGCAGCAGGGAAGTTCCTGCAAGGAACTACCCTAGACCATCCTGATATATGTTAGTTGGGATTCCAAAGAAGAAAGTACTTAACTCCAAGGTGATCAGTCCAAAGCACTTGTTAGGGAGAACTCATACAAAGTGACAGACAGCAAGAAAAAAAAGATGTTCTGCCTAGATATGTCTGCAAATAAGGGCACTGAGTTGTGGAGTTATTTGGCTAAAAGCTGGGCTAGTTCCTGTGTGTTTCACAGCGTGTCTGATCTTTCAGTGTTTTAGGCAACAGCCTAAACATGTTCTTTTAGTGCCTGGGAATATTCAAAGTTGAACCCAGCAGAGAAAACATGCAGCTGACCAGGTGACAGAGTGGCTTAGGTACTCTGTGTTTCTCCATCAGGACAAAGGAAGAAAGTGTGGCGGGAGGTTGGGCGCCCCACATCTCGGAAGTAGAGTGCCTCTGAAATCAAAGAAAACTTGCTTATAAAGATGGAGGGCTGAATGACAGTATCCCTCAGGTGACTTCTCCCAGGATCAGAAACTCATAGAACTTTCTGGAGGGAGCCATTCATCAGTCTGAGCATAAGCCACAGAACACCAATGTCTGCAAGGCATTGTATGGCAATCTGCTGTGGTTAAGGCCCTGGGCTGAAGCCAGAGAAACCTAGATCCAAAACCTCACCTGGCCACATGCCACTTGAACTTCATTTATCTCCTCTGAAAAAAAATGGAGGGATAATAACAGTATTTGTCTAATAACTTTGTTGTGAGAATTAAAGGAACTAATGGATATAAATTTCTCAGCATAGTGCCGGTTTATGAGTGCTCAGACATTTAGGCTGTCATTAAAGAGATTCTCATGGTCTTTCCTATCTTTGTCAGAGTCTTAAGGCATTTTTTAAATGAGTTTGAGCCAACGTCAGAAAAACACTACCGGGGATTGCAGGTGTCTGGGTGTCTCTTGGAAGTGTGGCAGGTACTTCAAAAACCTTTTACAGCCCTTTTGAAAACCTTGGGGGCATTAACATCCTCCTCATCTCAGTTTCCTGGGAATAACTGAATAGCTGAATCAAAATTTTTAATGATGGATCTACACAGCAATTTGTCATTTTAGTTAGTGTCAGATGGCCACAGATGACCCACTCAGACGGCAGGAGTGCCCACTTGGCAAGTCAGACACATGCTGCCTTTTCTTTTCTGTCTGCTTCTAAAGATCTCAGATAAAACAAAGGGAGACGCAAGGTGTAAAGGGAATAGCACAGGCTTTGAGCCAGATGAGCAGGAATCCACATATCAGCCCTGCCTGATATTTGGTGGCCTGGGTGTCACTTAACCTCGTTGGAACTCCATTTTCAAGGAGAGTTTGTTTATAACATTCATTTATTTCTTCAATAAGTACATTTTTTAGTACATTTAGTATTGCCAGGCTCGGCTATAGGTGCTTGAAATATATCAGGGAACAGAATGGGCACAAAATTCTGCCCTTGTGAAGGCAATATTCTGATGGCAGAAGAGAGACCATTAGAAATAAACTTGATCCATAAGCAAGCAATATAGTCTCTGTATAGTGGGGATTCTAGTATCTAATGCTAGGGGGTTGTTCTGGTGACAATAAGTGACAATTTGTGTGTGATGCATGAGACATAGCAGGTATTTAATAAATGGCTGCCATTATGACTTTAAAATTTTCTTCAGATTTCCCAAATCCTCTAAACATTTAATGTGCAGTCTGCACCCAAGTGCTGTTCATTTATTCATTCAACAAACACCTATTGAGCATCCATCATGTGCTAGAATTTGTGCTAGGCACTAGGGAAACAAAGGAATCTCTAAGAGAATGAAGCCCCTGCCATTGAGAGTGTCACTGTCTGACCCACTAGGTAGCAAAGGAGAGGACTGTGAAAGCCCAGAGGCAAGAGTGACTCTCACTCTTGTGTTTCTGTGAGTCAGAAAAGTTCACTTCACTGATGATGTCTTTTTTCTTTTTATCTCATAAGCCCAGGTATGGCTGGTGACTCTAGGAATGCTATGAACCAGGACATGGAGATTGGAGTCACTCCCTGGGACCCCAAGAAGGTTCCCAAGCAAGCCCGCGATTACGTCCCCATTGCCACTGACCGCACGCGCCTTCTGGCCGAGGGCAAGAAGCCCCGCCAGCGCTACATGGAGAAGAGTGGCAAGTGCAATGTGCACCACGGCAACGTCCAGGAGACCTACCGCTACCTGAGTGACCTCTTCACCACCTTGGTGGACCTCAAGTGGCGCTTCAACCTGCTCGTCTTCACCATGGTCTACACCATCACCTGGCTGTTCTTCGGTTTTATTTGGTGGCTCATTGCTTATATCCGGGGTGACCTGGACCATGTGGGTGACCAAGAGTGGATTCCTTGTGTTGAAAACCTCAGCGGCTTTGTGTCTGCTTTCCTGTTCTCCATTGAGACCGAAACCACCATCGGCTACGGCTTCCGGGTCATCACAGAGAAGTGTCCAGAGGGGATCATACTCCTCTTGGTCCAGGCCATCCTGGGCTCCATTGTCAACGCCTTCATGGTGGGGTGCATGTTTGTCAAGATCAGCCAGCCAAAGAAGAGAGCGGAGACCCTCATGTTTTCCAATAACGCAGTCATCTCCATGCGGGACGAGAAGCTGTGCCTCATGTTCCGGGTGGGCGACCTTCGCAACTCCCACATCGTGGAGGCCTCCATCCGCGCCAAGCTCATCAAGTCCCGGCAGACCAAAGAAGGGGAGTTCATTCCCCTGAACCAGACAGATATCAACGTGGGCTTCGACACGGGCGACGACCGTCTCTTCCTAGTGTCTCCGCTCATCATCTCCCACGAGATCAACGAGAAGAGCCCCTTCTGGGAGATGTCTCGGGCTCAGCTGGAGCAAGAGGAGTTCGAAGTCGTGGTCATTCTAGAAGGGATGGTGGAAGCAACAGGTAAGGGGCTTTGTCCTCCTCGGCCACAGACTCCCCCTGCCACACCATAGACTCGGGCCCCTGTGGCTCCAGAAGATGAAGTCTGGCAAGACCTCGTCTCTACAATAAATCAAAAAATTAGCTGGGCATGGTGGCACATCCCAGAATTCTCAGGGATGGCACAGTCGACACGTTCAGTCCCTAAATTGTGATCTGAGGTATTGTTACTCAAGAGAGAATGATCAAATAGCTCACACTGACTGGGTCTTTCCCACTTCCAGGCACAGTTCTAAACTTTATTTTATTTTATTTTTTAAGTTGGAGTCTCACTCTATCACCCAGGCTGGAGTACAGTGGCAAGCTCACGGTCACTGCAGCCTTGACCTACTGGGCTCAGGCGATCCTTCTGCCTCAGCCTTCCAAGTAGCTGGAACTACCGGCATGTGCCACCATGCCCAGCTAATTTTTTGATTTATTGTAGAGACGAGGTCTTGCCAAGTTTCCCAGACTGGTCTTCTCAAACCCCGGATTCAGGCAATCCTCTTACCCAGCCTCCCAAAGTGCCAGTATTACAGGAGTGAGCCAACATGTCTAGCTAGTTCTAAACTTTAAACATTTATTATCTCATGGAAAGTCCTTTCATCCTTATGAGATAGTTTTTATTAAGGTCCAAATAAAGAAACAGAGGCACAGACAGGTTATATTATTTGCCCAGGAGCAAGTGCTACTAGGTCATAGAGCCAGAATGGAACTGGAGGTAGGGTATCCCAGGGCCAGCACTCATTTTCAGCAGGCCAAACTGCCCCATCCGAGAGCAACAGTGTTATTCAAAAAACAGTTTGCTTATCACATGACTTTGGGAAACACAAGGTGAAGCTGAGGTAAGCTGGTTTCTTTGCAGTAGGATTTCATGGCCTCTTTGCATACTGGGAATCTCATCATCAAAAGGACACTATGCAACATTTCCCAAACTCAACAGGGCTCTCACCCAACCTTGTTTCACGGAGAAACCTATGCCCCAGACCTGGGGCTTGGGCTCTTTCTGGTGGGCCCTCTCCATAGCAGCCTGCTCCGCTACTTCCTATAGAAGTGGACTTAGGAACTCAGGGCCTGCAGGGTTCCTGTCTTGCAAAAAACAGTGCATCCATGCTGAGACATCACCATCCGTGTATGACCAAGAAAAGATCCTCTTTGTGGCCAGCATGGCACCTCCCTGCTCAGCTATTGACTCTCACAGGCAGTTGGCAGTCAGGAACCTCCCTGATTCCTCAGATCTCTGGGAGGTGGCTTGTGGGATCCTAAGGCCTGAGGAAGCCCAGGTCTGGCTGACAACCACAGTCCTTACCCCACCTTCTCTTGGGCAAGGGAGCCCCCAGCAAAACCCTACATCCTGCATATTTCCTTTCTTCCTCTTGCCTGCCTCTCTTTTCTTTTTTACCCGGTAGACTGAGCAGCAGGTCTGACCCTAACAACGACTTAAAGAAAACTCACTTATGCTTTGAATGATACATGTATATTTTTCTAATTCTTGAAAACCACAGTGTAGGGCTGGCTCCTGTCTCGTTTTGCACATATGGAAGCTGAGCCTCAAAAGGCTCATGTAGACATATGTGTTTCTACTCAGGTCTTTCACTCACAAATCTAAGCTTTTTCAACCATGCCACACTGACTCCCTAAAATATGAGTCCTGCCACAGAGATGGCCAGGCAGGAAGCTGGTTGCAAGATGAAGGACTCAGAGTGTCTACAAGCCTTCCCATTTGGGAGTCACTGCAACCAGAAGGGTTCGCTAACAGGCTCCAGGGACTAGTGCCAGAGGGGGCTGTTTGACCATCTGCTGGAGGCCGGATCCTGGCCAAGCAGCATATGTTGGTGACTGGGGAAGCCCCTGGGCCGAGGACAGTCAAGATGCAGGAAGCTTCCCCCCGTAGAGCTGAGGCACGCAGGCTACTCTGTCCTTGGCACTGGGATCAGGGTCAGAATACAGGCTGAGTTTATGGGGGGAAGAGCTCCACTCTGAAGCCACAAAAAAGGATCAGATCAGAGACATGAGGACATATAAGAACGCCATGCCTGACCACTCTCCCCACAGTCACCCTCACTGCCACCAGCTATGAAGCAGGGAGAGTGCCTGTTGGCCCCACAGCAGAGGGAGCAGGTGCTGACTGGCCCCTCTGGCTCCTCCCCTGATGTTTCCCTCAAAGTCAGTGGCCCAACGTTACCTTGTTACTGTTTGATCTCCTCCCCTCCCACAACCTGCTCTACGTTTGCTCCATCCAAGGCATCATAGTGGAAATCCAGGGAGATAAGAGCAGGAGACCCTGTCCACATCTGTTCTGATTTCAACAACTTGAATGGCTTGGTTTCAGACTTAGGGAACCAAGCTTGGGAGGGAATTCAGGCCTTGGCCTGAGTAGCACAGCTCCACCATATCCCGCTGGTGTGCGTTTGGACCAATTACTTGTCAGCAAAATGATGAAAATCAATCTCACCGCGTTGCTGAGAGGATTCCAGATGAAGCACAGCACCCTATGCAAAGCACTGTGTCTGACACCTAGAAAATTCCTTCCAAATGCACTGAAAGATGACAAGGACACAGGCAGCATCTCTAGCTACAAGGCAGCTCCCTGCCACATCCCAAGGGACAGGATAGGAAGAGGAGTAAGATGAACCGAAAGAGCTTGCCCAGAGGCCCCTGTGGAGGTCCTACCCCACTGTCTTTCCTGAGGCCCTGGGAACCTGCAGACATCTGGCCTGATCTAGGCTGGTCAGGGCCCAGTTAGGACCTCTACAGCTCTGCGGAGGTGGTCGGGGAGGCGGGAGGGGGAGGTTGGGCAACAAGGGTGAAGACTGAATGCAGAGGTTCAACCTAGGCAGACTTCCCTAAGAGGAGAAAGCAGGCTCTGAGTCCCTCACCATGTGCAGTGTAGGGATGGGAAGCAGACTTGGACAAGACCTAGTGTGTCTGAGCCCCTCCCGGAGAAAGCCCAAAGTGGGACCTGGAGAAGGGTTCTCCTTCAGCACCCAAAGATCATGGGCCCAGAAGATTAAATATCAGAAATCTGCTTCCCTGTAACCCTAAGAGCAGAGGTTTCCTCATCCATAAAAAAAGCTGCCCTCCCTCTCTGGAGATAAAGCAACACCTAAAAATAACATAGGCATGGCAAGGGCTGAGTGTACAGGGAACAGAGGCATCGGGGTGCCCTTAAATCAAAGAACCAAGTTTTGTGCATGTGTCTGCTTTTTTCCTGTGTGTATGTGTGTGCATGTATGTGAGTGTGGAGCCTTCCATATGTGTCTTCACATATGTGTCTACCCCATACAATCCCTACGTGATCTTGAGGCTTGTCAGCTTCTCTGTATTCATTCATTATGGATTTAGCTTTGGTCAAGTCCATTCCTCTTTTCCCATCTCAGTCTTCTAGACCTAAATGTGGTTTTAGGAACCATGTCCCTGCCTCCAACTACTCCAACAAGCATTCACTCCAGTTTCTAGGAACCTGCTCCAGAATCTTGTATGTTGATGTATAATTTTCTGCTTCCACCACACCTCCAGGGCAAGGACTGTGTCTTATTGAACTTCACACCTCCACTGTGTTTATCACAAAGTAGATACTCAGCAAATACTTGGATGATTGGATGAATGGATGAATGGGTAAACAAATGGATTGATGATTGGATGGATGGATGGGTAAATAGATAGATGGATAAATGGATGAATGAGCAGATGATTGAATGGATCCTTGGAAGCAGGGAGGGAAGGAGGGAAGGAAAGAGGGAAGGAGGGAGGGAGGGAGTGAAGGAGGGAGGGAAGGAGTGAAGGAGGGAGGGAGGGAGGGAAGATTGCATCTTAATGCTTGGGCTTCTGTTTCCCCAGGCATGACTTGCCAAGCACGGAGCTCCTACATGGATACAGAGGTGCTCTGGGGCCACCGATTTACGCCAGTCCTCACCTTGGAAAAGGGCTTCTATGAGGTGGACTACAACACCTTCCACGACACCTATGAAACCAACACACCCAGCTGCTGTGCCAAGGAGCTGGCAGAAATGAAGCAGGAAGGCCGGCTCCTCCAGTACCTTCCTAGCCCGCCCCTGCTGGGAGGCTGTGCTGAGGCAGAGCCAGATGCAGAGGATGAGCAGGATGGAGAGGATGAGCCCCAGGGGCTGAGTGGGCCCCGGGAGACCAGGGGCTCAGTGTGAGGGCTACCCTCTCTTCATGATCCCTCCTCACTGGCTTCTAGGAGCACAGATCCTGCAGAGTTGGAAAGTGGGAGGTAATAGCTCAGTGTGCTGTGTGGGGCCCAGGAGCTGTCAAGGACGGGAGGAGACACATATCCAGCCCTCGTGCTCCCAGCTCAGGGCCCCTCTGAGCAGGTGGCATCCTGTCTGGGCCCGCCATGGCAGTGCCACCTCTGTCAGCACTGGCTAAGGGCCAGGCCAGGATGGGTTTCCTCACAGTGAATGCCACAAGGCGGCATCTGTTCTCTCTCTGCACATTGGTCCTGGGTCACCTCCCTTCTGGGTCTCACAGGCCCCTCCAGGAGCTGACACCTCGAGAAGGTCATCACCCCATTCCCTTCATTCCTACCACCATGAGGCTTCTCATGGATTCAGAGAGGAGTACTTCTTCCTGATGGAAGCTCAGACCTCCAGTCCAGGGTGAGCTCACAGAGTCCTCGTGGGTTAAGGTCTGTCTGAGTCATGTAAGCAATTCCTTTAAAATCAGACACCAATGACCAGTTCTTGAGAGCTACAGAGTACACAGCCCTTGATGATCTGTTGTTATCTGCAAAGTGTGTGTGTTTTTCCTGTGCTGTGTTCCGCATTTCCAGTATAGCCTAGCGGATAGTTGATTTCATTAGAGTGACTTTTAGAGGGTGGTCTGGAGCTACAGAGCCCCTCTGAGCAGAGTAGTGGCATCACAGCTTTCTGGCCCACCTCCAGTCACACTGTGCCCTGCACCTCCCACCAAGGGCGAGCCCCAAAGCTAGGTCTTTTCTAGGACTTTTTGGCCTGAGAGCCTCAAAGTGCTTCTAGCCTTCTCTGTAGCTTTCTTTCACAATCACAGAACGCCTGTGGTGTGATCTGGGAGAAAGCGGAGTTTCAGAAGGCAAGATGAGCCGGGCGGCACTGAAACAGGAAGGGCAGAGAGACATGAAGCACAGGAAAAGGAAAGTTGAAAACACTGTAGGGGAAGCACCTGCCCCAATTGTTGCCAAGACAGTGACTTCAGGGCTCAACACATCTTCACTGTCAAGGTGAATGTTGGGATGTAACTCAAAAGTTAGAGGTGACTGCAGCGGCAGCTCTACCATCAAGCCCAGGCTGGACCAAACTCTCAGGCTGCTGCTGAAAGGCCCTGGGCCTCCCCACCCCTATAGGCAGGGCTCCCATGGGCAAGTCACTCTGGAGGGTAGGGGTGATATCCAGGGAAGGGGAAGGGAGCAGCGACCTCCTCCCAGCCTGGAAATAGGGGGGTGAGAGGAGTCAGTGGGAGAATTACGGGGGGCATGAATGTTAAAAAGGTAGAGAAGAGCCTTAAAATTAACAACTTCAAGGCTTTTCTTTTCCACACTAGAGGCCTAGGCAGAGTGAGACTGGATAACTCAGTGCAGATTAAGTTGATGAAGGCTGGGTTGAGACAGACAAACAGGCAGCCTTCTGGTGAGCTGACCTAACTTGGGGAGAGAGTGCAAATGTTCCTGGGTCACAGAACTGCTCAGCCCTTGCCCATCACTTTCACAACTCTCAGCTGGCCTGGGGAAATATTTTCCTGCTCTGAACATGGAACACCTTTCCCAGAGCAGGAATAGAGCTTCAGAAAGTCAGAAAGTTGAAGCAGAGAAAAGGGGACACCTTTGGAACTCAGGCTCGGTTCCCCTTAGGCTGGATCTTGAGAGGTGGGGCCAGGGGCGCAGTGGGCAAGCAGGGTCTTCCCAGCAGGGCGCCAAGTCTGTTCCAGGCATCCTTCTGAGTGAAGCAGGCCTTGGAAGGAATGGGGAACAGGCTGGCATCCCCTCTCAGGGCTCAAAGGAAAGGGAAGCAGACAGTGCCTCAGCAGGGGAGCTACATGCAGTCAGGAGTCCAAGGAAGGGAGCCCATCGCTAAGACCAAGACCAGATGCCGTGGGGGTGAGGGGGGTATAACTGGAGCGCTTGGGTGGGGGCTAGCACACCCCAGGCTTGCCAGTCCCTAGGCTTATAGTAGCAAAACACACTCTTGCTGGATCCAAAGACTATCTTGGCCAGAACGCAGCCATGCCCACTGGTTATAACCCTCAGAGAGGCAACTGAGCAAGGAAAGGAAGCTGCTGGTGAAGCTGGTCTGAGAGAGGACAGTACCCTAGATCCTGTTTCCCATTGCCTCCATTTACAATTCTGAAGCATCCCTGGCTGGCCAAGTGAGCCACTCTTCAGTTTTCTCACTCTGCCCATGACTTCCATGAGCCATGGCCACCCCACTTCTCTCCAACCAACTAGAAGCTACAGAGACCATAGAAGAGGAATTAGTCAATACAGTTCTAGTTTAAAGCTCCCTGATAGGCCAGGGCCAACATATACTAGGATTCTTAAAATACAACTTCCAATGTGCCTATTCTGTTTTCTTTCTTTCTTTTTTTTTTTTTTTTGAGTTGGAGTCTCACTCGGTCACCCAGACTGGAGTGCAGTGGCCGCTCCCGGCCACCGCAGCCTCGCCTGCTGGGCTCCGGCGATCCTTCCGCCTCAGCCTTCCGAGCCTATTCTGTTTTCTATCATGGAAACTTAAAAGCAAGAAAACCTCCCTTCAGATCCCCAAAAAATCCCCTTCTTGGTGACCAGTCAATCCAACTAAAGTTTGAAAAGTTCTTCAAATCATTTTCTGGAAGTTATCAAATAAACGTGAACTTATTAAATGCAAAGCCTGATGATGGACAGAGTTTCAAGGGGTTACAAAGCACGGCTCCTGCATGCAAACCCCTTACAGGTCGCCATCCTCTGTGGCCAGGCTCTGAGCCTGTACCATCACTTCTCATGGACTACAGGAAGCTGAGCCCGGCTTGAAGATGGGGGTCACTGATAATTCCCACAGTCCTCAGCATCTCCAAAATCTTCGCTTGTCAGATCCTGGAAGTTAGGGGAGCTGACTTCCTGCCTTAACTTCCTTGTCATTCCTCTCTGGAAATGTCCCCTGTAAGGGAGAAGCCCCTAGGAACTCAGAAGATTCGTTCCCACTAGTTTTCCTCACTCAACTAATCTGAAACCTGATGGATGTTGTCACCATTGCCTGAAGGACCCTGTTCCCAGGCCAGAGCAGAATGAGCACTACCCACGACTCTCCCCCTTCAGACCTCACCCCTGCCGGTCTCCTATGCATTTGGAGGGCTCACTGCCCATCATTTCCCTCCACTGCTTTGAGATCCTGGCTCAAGCAGATACCTCGATGGAGAAGAGAAGCCCCTGTGTGTTGGGGAGCGCCCTCCCTGCTCATGGTCTATGACTGGGCACCTTCTTCCACACTCCGTATCCCACAGCTTAGTCCAGCCCGTCTCAACTCTTTGTCACATAAGATGTGAGAAGCAGAGAAACTTAAGTTGCTTGTGACAAAAAAATTACAAAAAACAATGATTGCCCATTGTCGTTCAAGATTATGCAAAGCACATGTACCACTGGTCAAGCTCCTATGGGTGCCTGGCAGTGGGTCAGACTCTTTGCCTGGACACTTGTGCTTGATTCTCAAAACACTGCCGAAAAGATTTTCATGAGCTCTTGTTAGCCACGACACAGTCAAGTTCAGAGCAGTGCATTAGTTTGCTCAAGGCCACAGATAGTAATAAGAGGCAGGGCCTTGTGGCCAAGTGTCTCCCAAACAAACAGATGGGACCACCACCCTGTACAAACTTCCATGTCTGTGGCATCTCGCTGGGCTCAGGCAGCAGGGATAAGGAGATCCCTGGCTCTTGGGGTAGCTCCAGGCCGACTGTGTGCTGTGCCGTAGAGCCTCGGTTCCCCTGACAGCAACTGGCCCCTGTGACAGGCTCATTGGGAAACACCTTTTCTCGATTCCCAGAAAACTAATGAGCTGTGAAACGAGATTAGATGGGGAAGAATTGCTTTTGGGAAAAAGCCACTTACTCTGCTCGCCTTGGTTTTTGCTAACAATGTCTCCTTAAACTGCTGTGTCAAATCTCTTTCCCGTTGTGTAGGACTTGTCAATCTTCTTATGAAAAAGAACACCACTGCACTGCTAAAAATTCACCCAATAAAATGGACTTAACCTTGCAGAATTCTTTCTCATTTTAATCAGATGGCCACTCATTTCCCATTGAAATTCATTACCAGTTTGAGCAAACCTGTCCTTCTTGTTCTTGGTAACCTCAAAAGACAGCAACACCAGCCAGGCTGCTATCGAGGTAAGCATATGGCAAAGGTGGGGAGAAGAGAATTAGGTGGGGTACCTGCAGCAGGTGTCAGGCTCAGCCTCTGTAGGGGAAGTCAATGGCAGACGCAGAGCACAAGCATTCTGGGCTCTCACGCCAGCTCATTCACCCTGCCCCTAAAGAACTTCCAAACATTCTTTAACGTTAAATATTCACCATTCACATGACCCAAGTTGTGAGTCACTTAAAAAATATCCACTTTAGGGAGCCCCTGGACCAGCAGCCTGCATTCATGGCATACATTCACAAAATGATTGACACTGCTAAGTAGTGGGGAAGGGGCCGAGGACACGTGATATTTAATGTTGGTCAAGGGCTTCAGGATTCTTTTTTTTTTTGTTGAGTTGGAGTCTCATTCTGTTGCCCAGACTCGAGTGCAGTGGCCACTCCTGGCCACCGCAGCCTCGACCTGCTGGGCTCTGGTGATCCTTTTGCCTCAGACTTCCAAGTAGCTGGAACTATAGGCATGTGCTACCACACCCAGATAATTTTTTGATTTATTGTGGAGATGAGGTCTCGCCAAGTTGGCCAGGTGGGTCTCGAACCCATGGGCTCAGACCATTCATTCACCTCAGCCTCCTAAGGCGCGGAATTACAAGCTGAGCCACGGAGCCCGGCTGGCTTCAGGATTCTTTAAGTGAAGACCAAATGTCTGTTTCTGTTGAAATCATCATTAGCAGCAGAGAATTTAAGATTGGCTTCTGTGGTCACCCAACGGCAGTATTGAAGAGCTGAAATCTACAAAAGAGGCTAACTGAAGATTCCCCACTTAAACCATTCTGGAAGGATAAACAGCTGGCCAGGGCTTTGTTATAGAATGAGATGAGACACAACCTTTTAAGTTGGGAGAGGCCGCACAGTCCTGATGTGTAGGGGGCATTTTCCACCTCTGGCCCAGGAGCCCACCCATGGAAACAAGTTCTGAGAAATCTGTGCATATGACTTGGGCTAAAAGCAGGTGCAGAGCCGCTAAATCAGCAGTGGACAAAAGAGCACCTGGTAACCCTGAGGGTAAATTGCCTTCATGGTGGAAAAG